TTGTAAAGGAAAAAACATTCGGTGGTTTTTTCATTCTTTTTTTTTATTTTTTCACCTTCTTGTTCAACACTGTTTTTTTTTTTTTTAATGGTGAAATTGTTTGCAGTTTTCTACGGTTGAAAATATTAGATTATTTGAACAGAATATCTATGAGCAAAATATAAGTAACAGGAAAAATATTTTATAAATCGTTATTGAACTTAGGAAACTAAAGTAGAGTTACAAATAGCAAAATGGTTTTTGCTTTTTTTTTTTTTTTTTTTTTGTGGTAAACTGAATGTAATTCATAAATTTCTCAACGGTTTCAGAGAAAAAAAAAAAATGGTTTTTCAACATTTTAGCGCTCTATTCGTCGACATCGACAATATGTATGCAAAAATCGTGGCGGTGGACAAGAGGGCAAATGTTTGGTGGACAAAACACATCGGAATCAATGCCGAGCTTGCCGACTTCGGAAATGCTTAGAAATTGGTATGAATAAGGAAGCGGTACAACACGAACGAGGACCTCGTAATGGTACTGCACGGCGGCAGTTAACACTTTATGCACCGTCCACATCGCCTACCCGAAATGCATCGGTTTGTATCAGCTCCATTGAAAGAATTTAGTGTTGGAAAAATTTTTTTTTTTACTCTTTTTGTTTTTTTTTCTTGACTCTTCAGACGACAAATAACAATACCACTTGAAGTCAGCAATCAAACTAAACATTCTTGAAACTGTCTTTGACTAAGATTAGCAGCAGGAACAGCAGAAACCACAACAACCAAAACAATAAGCTGAACAAATCAAGAAGAGGCAAAAAAGAAGCGAAAGAGGCAAAAAAAAAAGCAATATTGAAGCAAAAAGGCAAAAGTGAAGCTGAAAACAAATGTGTTGTTAGTTACTTAAAGCTACAAAAACAATAGAAAACAAATTGATTTACACTCAAGTCTTTGGCTTATTGTCATCAGTTAAGAAGTGTTCCAAAAACAGATGGAATATTTGTATGGATGTGCTACGCCGCTACTTGTCCCGTGTTGTCATCAACTATGCCAGTCGCTGAATTGCAACCATGTTGTTCACTAAGCCATAACACTTTATTCAATACATCAAACTTCATCTGAGCATCATCAGAATGCTGTAAAAGAAGCACAGCAGAGCAATAAAAGCACATGAATAAATCTGGCCGATAAATGTGGAGAAAGTTGGAACAAAGCAAAAAAAAAAAAAAAAAAAAA